ATTTTTTTCAGTCTTTGGAAAACGAAACACTCAGGCTAGCATGATGGCTATCCGTGGCATACTTGAAGAATGAGAATAAATAGATATCCATTATTCTCCATAGATTATATGATCTTAATTTCAATCTAATCGCAAATAAATCAGTATCGTTAGATTCGTCAGAGGATCGTTTTTTCGGAAAAAGCTTATCAAAATAGTTTCGCCATTTGAAAAATAATAGTTAGACACGGATATGATGTTTTTTGTCCAACTATCTTCTTTGAATCTATCATACTAGTCACTTAAACTTTGCGATAATAATATCCTGACATCACCTGATGTGCTTGGATAAGTCCTCCGCCCTATCATAGCCACCTAGATGCCATATCAGAAGTGACTAAAAAAATTGAGTGCATGAGAGTAAAAGCTCCTGACAATGTCATATTCGGATCCAGAATTGTCTCAGGAACTCGAAAATGTTATGATATACAGGGTGTTCCGTTAGAAAATTCAAAACCGGAGTCATTTCCGGTGAAACCGGAAGTGGCCAAGAGGTGAAAAATATGCGAGAACATGCGAAAACTTAACGAATTTTGAAATTCTGTTCATTTTGAGACCTTATTTGTGATTTTTGTGTGAATAATTGATGAATGTTGAATGTATTCGAAATACAAACCGTTGATAATGATTTACTTCCACTGACTGCTGAGAGATAATTATGTGAGTGAAAATGATTTTGCTGAACCTCTTTTATGCTGTAACATGCATATCGTTATTTTTGCCATCCTGAAATGATTTTATGAAATAATTCGTTGATAATGAACAGTAAGTAAACATCGATATTGCCAGTATGGGAGAATTTGCAAGGAACAAATATGAAGATTTGGTTTGCCTGTAATGAGGTGTTTTTGACCAACTTCATTACTAGACTGGTTTCGATTAATATCTAAGTAACCTAAGACTGATTCTACTTGAATTTCACTTGTTCGAAAGCTCGAAACCTGAAAACCTGAGAGAGCTGAGTAATGCATTATTGATTCCTGACTTCCCAAAGCTGTTTCTGATAGTCGACTCTGATAAACATCATTAAAACCCTAAAGACTGCAATATTTTTAACCCCTTTGCTTATGACATGAAATTTGATTGAATTATTTATCAGTTGAAATGATGAATGTTTGCCTGGTCATAACTTTTTTGTTATTGGATATTTTCCAGTCAAATTCATTCAGTAGCATTCACGGCGCAGGCAGGTCAATGCTCTCAATGAAGATCTTGCTGAAATCACAGCCTGGGGAACGAACAACCTAGTTGAATTCAACGCCACCAAAACTCAAGCCTGCATTTTCTCTAGAAAGGCGGAACTCAGTATGCCCGATATTGTTATGTCTGGCTCCACCATCCCCACCAAGTCCACCATATCTATGCTCGGTATTTCCATCAGCAACACTCTTTCATGGGATAATCATGTCAGATCCATCGCAAAAGCTGCTTCACAAAAACTCGGATTCTTGTTCCGTGCGAAAAGCTACTTTATACCTCAACAGCTTCGCATGATCTACAAAGCGCAGATACGGCCTGTTCTAGAATACTGTTCCCACATATGGGGTTCAGCACCAAAACATACGCTGATGCTCTTAGATTCCATTCAGAGAAGGGCCATTCGCCTGGTGGGTGTCGCCACACTCACTCACTCTTTGACATCATTGGAACACCGTAGAAAGGTCGGCGACCTTTCACTTTTCTATCGATACTTTCACGGGAAATGTTCTTCGGAAATCTCTGCAATCATCCCTTCATTAGCAATACCAATCAGACGAACTGGACAAGCCCAGTCAGCACATCCTTTCGTTGTCAACCTCGAAATATGTCGAACAGCACTTTATCAAGACTCCTTCATCCATAGAACGGCTAGGCTCTGGAATTCATTGCCTGTGGAAGTATTCCCAACAACATATGATCTCCAAAAATTCAAAAAAAATTCCAATACCTTCCTCCTGTCCCAATCCTCCCTAGGAACGCACGATCTTCTTTGAACATTATAGGGATTCCCTTTCGTGCGCTCCAATCGATAAAAAAAAAGGTAGTATATTCTGTTCCTGTGCCTATTTAGGGTTGAATGTAATTTTTTCCGCATTTTTGTGAGCTTAAGAACAAGTGCTTGTGGATCATAGTTCCTGCAGCCATAATTGAGGATTCCGACCAATAAGAACCTAGGATCGAGTTGTCCTTGTATCGACGTCAAGGGGGAATATGAAAATTGAAGACAGCTAAGGGATCACTCTCTTCTTTAAGCCTTTCCCTACAAGTCTACACTACCTGCTCTACGTTATACAATCTCTGCTCTTCAAGCTCTCGGGTCTCTTGCTGATCTCTTAGTGCTTTCATAGTTCATTCAAAGCCAGTGTAAAGTACTAATGTATAGTGTTTTCCTGTTGCACATGTAAGTTTGTATCATATTTTTCACCATTATTATCCATCCTGTTTATAGATTCATTCCATTCCTGTTGCTTTTCATACCGATACTCACCCGACCTGTGTAAATAATCCAGAACTTTGTATTTGCGAATAAACGGTTTTTTTGTGTTTGCATATTTCATATTTCTTTCTCTGTTGTCATTGTTTTCAGTTCCAAATAGTTTGATGATTCATTTAGTGATTTTCAATGTTTTCATTTGTCAAATTGTTGATTATTATTATTGACTGATGGCTGACGGTGACGGCTGACACTGACAAGCCAGTTGTCAATTCTTCTTCTCATCTTTTCCGTGAACATTCCAGTCCTGTGTGCAACGGTGTCTCTGTGTTCTGTGTCCTGTCAGGCGGTGGTCTGTGGTTCATAAAATTCTGACATGAATGGAAAATATACCTAACCTCACTAAAATTCCGATATTAAAAAATTAGAAAATCGGAGGAGAAGGAAAGATGAATAGGAATTGAATCTGATTCATTTGGGACTGTTCCCGATTCTCCAGGTAGACTTAATGAAATAGTTGAATAAATAATTTTCCAGACCTAACCTTGAAATACCAGAGACCCGAAAGATATCCACTTTGATTTCTGTAATTATCCAGAATAAAAAAAATAGCAACCAGTATTCCAGGCTACACCCAGGGTTTGTAATTGAAGCCTGCACTACCTTGGCTCCTTATTGATTCTAGGTCGATTCAATAACATTGACCCCTGGTTTATACTGTAGGTAACGAGGTAGGTTACCTCCTGTACCTTTCCCCACTGTTGCTACTTTGGTCCTCTGTACAAAAATATTTGCAGAGCAGGTAGAGTAAACTACCTCAAAAACAATCTGGCGCTCGAGAATAACTTCATCAAACCTGGTATCTTTGAGTTCAGAGTTGAATTCCTTATTATTTTCCTGTTAATCTTTATTATAAGTGTTATCAAGGGTGGGATGTTTTAAGTGGCCAACCTCTGGTATGGTATATGTTATCTACATATGAGCTGCAGTACTCCTTTATATCAAAGTATATGACTAAATCAAATCCTTACTCTGTATAGAATTTTCATCCCTATTGACTAAAATGCAGGACAAAATTAGTTTTGCATTTCACAGGGGATATACCAGATCCAGAGTACCTTAGTACAAGGCTAGTTCGATCAAAGTGAACACCTCTACATCTTTTTGTTTCAAACCCATTAAAAAACAATTCAAAACTGATAATAAACAATTTTTTTCTACAAACGTCAAAAAATGACAAGGTTCGCGCATTGATAACAAACTGCGAAGTGACACTTTTTCCAGTTTCCTACATTACCATGATACCTTGCACAAAACAATGCGCGAAGTAAAACACTGCGTGAAGTACCTTCTTCGCGTCTTGTTATGTACCTACAATATATGAGATATTTATATTTCAACTTTATGGCCCTCAATCGAGCAAACTAGAACTATTTTTAGAACTATTTTTTTGACGTTTGTAGAAAAAATGTTGTTTGCAACTCGAGCGCGAAATACTTTGGTCATCTCGACTTTTTTTTCAACTCGGCTACTCGCGCTCTAGATACAAAATAGTTATTTTTGTATCTAGAGCGCGAAATGCTACTTTGGTCATCTCGACTATTTTTTTAACTCGGCTACGCCTCGTTAAAAAAATAGTCGAGATGACCAAAGTATTTCGCGCTCGAGTTGCAAACAATATTTTTTCTACAAACGTCAAAAAAGATAGTTCTAAAGTAAAAATATGCTCAGCTTGATATAAAAAATAGTGTTGAACTGGCTTGAAACGCTTCCCCCTATCCTCCCTAGGTACGCACGATGTTCGACGATCATAATAGGAATTTCCATTCGTGCGCCCGAAGAGATGAAACAAAGGTATTGCTGAACATTCAGAAATAAATGATTTCGTAGATGTTTTTTCGATTGAGGACCATAAGGTTGAAATATAAATATTTCATATATTTTACATTACAATGCGCGAAGTAGGTACTTCGCGCACTGTTCTACTTCGCGCATTGTTTTTTGCAAGGTATCATGGTAACGTAGGAAACTGAAAAAAAGCGTCACTTCGCAATTTGTTTTCAATGCGCGAACCTTGTCATTTTTTGACGTTTGTAGAAAAATAACTATTTTTGACAGATTTCACCTCGGGTTTCACTCATATTATGATGCAGTTTCTCTTCAAATATACAGGATACCTATATGAATAAATGAATATATTCTTCAAATGAAATATGCTGTATCTTTTGATAGATTCCAATCCCTAATATCTCATTCTTATTTCAGATAAATATCGAAATAAATATACATATATTTCGGTTTTCTCTGTATATTTGAAGATATATTGCGACACTCTGTTAATATGATTGAAACCAGTACCTTCCTACTTATTTCCTGGTTCGAAAAGAACGAATGATTGAACAAATGTTATGTTAGGTACTAGGAGATAGACCAGAAACATTTTGCTGCGTGAAGGCAAAAACACAGAATGAGCATTCATCCAATCAGCACCCTGAATACAGTAAACACCTTGTCAATCTTTACCGACATTGCAATGAATGCATGAATAAAATCAGTTCATTTATTACTCATATAACAATAAAAAAATAAATACAAATCGACATGGTTCGAATCATTAAAACATCAAAACTTAAATACAATAAATTAACATTTGTAAAATTGATCACTTGACAACTTTTTGTTGTATATTTGTCGAAATCATTCATGGTCCTCAACTCTCGACTTCCCATTCAAAATATCTTGAATTTCCTGCAAACTCTTGCCAGAAGTTTCTGGCAATAACTTGTAGACGAACAGTGCAGCAATGAAACAGAACCCAGTAAAGACCCCAAACGATCCAGACCTGCCAATCAAGTCTGTAAGATTCCCAAAGTACCTAGTTACAATGAATCCAAGCACCCAACATCCAGAAGCGGTAGCAGAAGAAGCCGCAGATTTTATATTTCCCGGAAATAGTTCTCCCATCACAGCCCATGGTAATGGTCCAAAACCAAGGCAATAGGCAACTATGAAAACAACCAGACCCACGATTGGCACCCATCCAATGTTAGAAATATCGTCCATTTTGTCGTCCTTCAAATGAAAGAAGTAGGCCATGACTCCCTGTGACAGTCCCATGCCAATACCAGATAGCATGAGGAGGAATCTCTTTCCCCATTTCTCTACCAACATAGGAGTAGCGCCGCTAGCTAGAATTTGCACGACGCCAATGATGATTGTGCAAATTTCTGGTGCTAGTGATACTCCAGCTGCGGTGAAGACATCTTGCGCGAAAAAAAGGATGATGTTGATACCAGACAGCTGCTGACAGGCTACCAAGCCTAATGACAGCATCAAAGCCATTTTCAATCCCCTTGTTTTGAAGATATCAAGGAAGCCACCTTTGTTCCTTTGATCTACTTCTACTTGCTGCCTGATCAGCTCAGCTTCTTTCTGTACCACATTCCTACCACTTCCTCGCAACTTCATCAGAGCCTGCTCAGCCTCTTCTGTCTTATCAGTCTGTATCAAGTAGTAAGGGCTTTCTGGCACGAAGAATAGGAACAATAGGACAAAGGCTATTGGAGGCACAAGGAGAACCACGTTGAATATTTTGACGGTGAGGTACGGACCGAAGACGTAGGAAAACAGCAGTCCGATTACAATGAAAAGCTGCATGAAGGCACCCAAAGACCCTCTGACTTCATCGTCAGCAATTTCCCCCACGTACATGGGTATGGACGTGAAGACTATCCCAACTCCTAAACCGCAAAGGAATCTTGACAGGAAGAAATAGTACACGTTGGTGGCAATGATGTTGAGGACGTAGGCTAGGATGAATGGAGTGGCGCCGATGATCAGGGTCTTCTTTCTGCCGATGGCGTCAGCCAAGTAACCTCCTGCGAAGGGTCCTATCGCGGCTGCTAGGGGTAGAAAGGCGCCGACCCAGCCTTCTTCGGAGGGTGTCAGGATACGGCCGAGAGGGTTGTCGTCTAGGGCTTTCAGCTTTGGCATTTCCGGAGACGTCCATCCTAGGGCTGTTCCGCAGACGAATGACGCTAGGTTGCCTGGAACGAAGAACAGAGGGTTCAGGATATATCACTACAAACTGGAGTTCACGGTGTTACTATTATGAGCCCGAAGGACGAGAACTACTATATATATACGACGTGCTTACACTATCTCTATATCGAGAATCAGTCGGAAAAAATAGATGAAAATATGCATGCTTATATTTTACAATACGGTCTTCTCTTTTAAAATAATCTCAGCAATACAGTGTTGGCGCTTTTATCAAAAAGAAGCAACAACAACTTTGTTATTTCAAAGAGAATATTTTATTGCGTTCTAAGATTCTTCCTGAAGAGTTGATTTCATTGATACACCAAACTTGGGGTCTATCGGGAATGATTACAGGGATATAGGGTTTACAAAATCGAGATTTCCCCTTTTTAGGATTTGTTCGTGTCGAAACTATTCATTTTCGGCCGAAACGGCTCACTACTACTATTTACTGATATTCAATCGGAACAGATACTGGGTATTCGGAATTCTGAATCTTGAATCACCCGATAATTAAAAGTTTCGACACAAAAAATCCTAGAGTTAAAAAATCTCGATTTTGAACACCCTATATCTCTGTTATCTTTTTCGATACACCCCAAGTGTCATGCATTGATGAAATCAGCTCTTCAGGAAGAATTTGAAAATGAGATAGAGAAGCGACCTGATTGCCCCAATACTCGCGACGACGGCCGCAGGCTTTCTAGCGCTTGGAAACCTTTCATTTCCCGCCATTCCACACCCTGCGCCATTCGCGATAGAAAATAACACGTTGCCCCACCTGACGGCAGCAATTTGAACACTTCTGAGCAGTTTGTTTTGATGATATGACCAATAAGCACAAACAAAAAACAAATGTGAACCAATGAAAACAAAGTAAACATGCCGCTCTGACAGCTCTCAAGAACTTCGATAGATGGCGTACACTTATTTTCTATCGCGAATAACTGAGCACGCTCCTAGTTCCGCTGCACTGACAACCGCATCCACTATAAATATCGCTCCATCATCCACACACCTTATGATGGCCTCATCGTCAAGATGATGGACCTAGGATATCCAATATCCCTGGTTGTAATCATCGACTCCTACCTCCGAGAGCGCAAGCTACGGGTGAAGGTAGCACACGAGAAGTCAACTTCCAGATCTACGGAAGCCGGAGTCCCCCAAGGAGCTGTACTGAGTCCGATGCTATATTCCATTTACACATCAGACACCCCGAAGACGGACAACACCTGCTTGTCACTCTACGATGATGATACTGCACTAGCGGCCCGATCACTCAGACCGGAGTTAGTGACCCGTTACCTGCAACGAGCTATTACCGCACTCGAAGAATGGTGTGTCGAATGGGAGATAGCCATCAACCCCGACAAGACCAAAGCGGTACTCTTCAAAGGAAGAATGCGGAAGGAACCTGAAGACAACGTGGAGATCGGAGGAAGAGATATCCAATGGTCAAACCACGCACAATACCTGGGAGTGGTATTGGACAAGGGATTGACATTCACCGAGCATGTCACAAGAACGATCAACAAAGCGGCCAAACTCAAGCTCTACCCGTAGATTGGTAGAAAAAGCAGGATGTCACTCACCAACAAAACTGGCACTGATCAGGGCAGTTATCCTGCCAATTCTCTCATACGCCTCGCTTGCATGGGGACAGACAAGCGAGACAAACCGGAAGAAGATACAGGCGCAAGAGAACCTATCCCTCCGATGGGCACTCGACGCACCCTACTACGTTTCGAACCGGACCATCTTCAGAGACTTGCTGATCACCCCATTCACAACGAAGATGAAAGAACGGGCCGAGAAATGGTTTCCCCTTCTCGCAGCACATCATCCGAACCGAGGACTAAGAGAAATGCTGGATTACGACCCTAGATTTGTAAACAGATTCAAACGGCCCAAATATCAACTGATGAGCGACGACGAAGACGAGTAAGTCAACCTCATGCGAATGTTTCTTTTCCAGGTTTTTGAAGCAATAATCCCCAATAACAAAACAGTTATCGGAGACCAATCGCAAAACTTCAAAACACGACACCCCCTTAACAAGCCCGTCCTAATGACAAACAACACCCCCAAGACTACACTATAGAAATAGTGAATCGCATTCCCATTGCAAACCAACAAACAAACGGACTACACGGCACTAAGAACTCTCGAAGCTGTGCTACACTCTAAGCCAGAAGTTGCGCGAGAGCAGGAGATCGTAACGTCTGGCATACGCACACACACACACACACACAAACACGACACACCAGGCCTAGGTATGATACCAAACAGGTGAAGTTATGAGGACTACTCCAGGAGGAGTAAGGGTTGGTTGGCAAGTTTCAAGGGACATTCATCCAGTTAAACGGATGGGTGCATGTCTTTCGAAATGAGAACCTCATAGAGGAAGGTACCGGGGGCACACCCTCAGTTCTCTCGAATGAGTAGGCAGATTGAGAGCTTAGAGAGAACCAGCGACGAGATCTGGGGAAGTAGGAGATTGAGACCCTGGCGTCAAGTCACATACCTTCCGTGATATTAACTGAGGAGTAGGCAGAGTCTCGATTCAAATCATTATGCATTACGAAGGTATCGTATGCCATTAGGGGTCACCAACTTCTTGAAAATTTCAAGATCTTGTCTTGAGATCAAGAAATTGTATGTCAATACCAAGATTTCTTGTCAAGAAAACAAGAAATCTTGGAATATCTTGAATGAGAATTGAAACTCAGAAACGTGCGTTTATCACTCATAAAGAAATAAGATCAATATAATGTAATTTTTACCATCACTTCACAAACTGGCATCATTGCAAGTGCGCGACGTCGTTTACGTTTGTCAGAAAACATATATGAAGATCGGGGAACCACCAGATTGCGATGTTAGCACGCGACAGGGTTGACAGTTCTACTTGAATCATCAGGAGATCTACTGATTTGCATATTGATCTACTGAAACATTTATAATCTACTGAAAATAATTAAGACACTTATTCATCATTATAATCACCTATAAATATTGATCTCCAGTTGATCACATTGACTCATAATATCTTGGTTGATATTTGGGCACGCTCTGTGAATACATTTTCTGTCATCACTGATCAAAAATTCGAATGCGTTTAAGCGCTTGAAATGTTGGTGATAAAGTACTCACTTTTTGCGCGGGAAAAAAGTAATCTTATGAAAAGTGACATTTTGTTACCAGTCCACAAAGTTGAAATGTCAAAGTTTTTTCCCATCACAAAAAAAATCATATTTTTTGGCGTCATGGGTTGATTACATTATTCTGAGTTTTGTATAGCATGAAATAAATCTACTGAAATCTACGGAATTTCTGACGAACTATATCTACTGATGAAATATCGAGATGGCAACCCTGGCACGCAACGCAATAAAACGTTCGCCATGAAATCACCATGTACGGTGTCACCGGTCAATCAAGAAATTTCAAACTCAAGACAAGAAATGATATGTCAAGAAAAACGGCAAGACAAGATTTTTCGAAAATTCTTGACTTTTTCTCAAGAAGAGAAGAAGTGTGCTTTATTGATTTGCTACCATTTATATGCACTCATGTTCATAACCCTACATATTACCCACTAGATGTAATAATGTTCATGACCTGCAACAAATGTATTTTTTTGTACATAACGTTGTTAAATAAACTAAACTAAAATAAACTAACTAAACTATCAATACAAGAATTCTTGCCTTGGCGACCCCTATATGCTATGGACAATTGACGGCTTTCGAACAAAAGTCAATTTGACACCATCATCATGAATCAATTCATTTTCTGTACATTGTGTAAATCCATTTGGAAGTTTTAATTAGAAGTACGTTTGGAATATGAAGAAGAGTATGATATTAGAATTCAATAATATTGTTATTTGTTCTATAATAGTGATGAATACACTCATTACCTGGATTGCACAGATTTTATAGTTATATCGACGCAAACGGATGCATGCGGAAGCGAATTCTTTTACTCTCCATGGGAGATGATATTATTTTCTCCTCCCGTGGGAGTAAATTGATAACTTTGTTTCCTCAAATGAGGGAGCAAACGCCTATACTTTCGATTGGGTGAGTAGATAAAATAATATAAACGCTGTACATGTCCCTATCTCAACTTTTGATTCAATAAGTATTGACATTTAATTGGAACAGATACAGAATGATCAGAATTCAGAAGAAAAAAAAATCAATTGGAATTTATTTCATATCGTCGCTTCGTATTGGTATTCCCCAAGAAGAAGGCCAACAAACTCTTAGACATATAGATATTTGGTATGAGATATGACGAGTAGAAAATCGAGAACGTAATTAATTGAGAATCATTATCGGTATGTTATCAGCAATCATTTTTTGAAGGGTTATCATAGTAGTTGATTATTCCTAACACCAATAAAAACATCTACAAATTTTGTCAATATTCGATGTATGAAAAATCAGTTCGACTATAATCATCGCATGATAATAATGATAATTTCAATGATAATAATAATAATAATGAAGAATGAATCGACTGTACTATATGATACAAAAAAATTTTCTCGGAGATTAAGTCACTCGTGTAGCAAATAATTTATCTACTGCTAAGTCAAGCTTTCGACAAATTGTATTTCCTTCTTCAAGGATGCAATGTGGGTATATATATAAACCTAGTAGCCCTATTGAAAACAAACCTACCAAATTGAAAATCAATCGAGAAGAGTTTTATCAAAAATTATTGAGAGCCTGATTTTTTTTTGTAAATTTTGACATATTTTATTCAGTAAGAATAATAATGCCAAAATAAGATCGAAACTTGTTGAATGTCATAACGGATCCCGTTCATTTTGGTCCTTCGCCAAAGCTGTAGAAAGAAACTTCACTTCCAGCTCGTTTCCTCCTCTAACCAAGGAAGATGAAACACTAGGCACAACTGCCCAGGAGAAAGCTGTAACCACCTTTTAGTGAAATTTATTTACTAATAAAAAAAGGTGAAACTTGAATGGTTA